CCACAGACCCTGTGCCCTTCAGCCCTCAGGCAGGCAGGCAGCCCCACCTTGCCCTGAAGTGTGCACAACAGGCCCCCTTTCTGGCAGAAGGTCTGGAAGAGATTGAGCAGGTCAAGGTTGGGCAGCTGCCCGTTGAGCCCCTCCACAGCCACATCGAGGCTGGTGACCACATCACTGCTCAGCTCCAGCGCCACGGCCGCCTGAATGGCCCCAGCTCGGCCCTGCAGGGGTGACGACTGCATACCTGTAGGAGCAAGTGAATGAGCACTGATGGGGGATCTGGTGAGGACAGTGACCCTGAGAGGCAGACCAAAGCACACAGGACAAGAGAACCTACCAGTGACATTGACATCGTGGTAGGCTTCAAGCCAAGCCTCAGTGCCCAGAAGGTCATGTTCTGTTACCAGGAAGATGATATCTTTGGCCCAGTAAATCTGCCCTGAAGGCCAGAAGCAAGATCAGCAGGGTCTGGGGCACTGACCAAACCCCTCCATGGCCAGCAACCCTGAGGCTCACCCCGGAAGTGGGCAGCCAGTGCCAGCAGCAGCCCCACAGCCTGGCTGTTGGTAGAGTCTGAGCCACAGGGAACGGTGAGCACAAGCGACTCCGTGCTGGCAGCACGCGGGGCCCGCAGGATGCCATATACGTTGGTGCCTGACACCATCTGTATGCCAGTGGGGGGAACCTCAGTGTAACTTTGTGGTAGGGGGCTGAAGCCCCCCCTTTTCTAGCCCTCCAATGCCCACCAGGGATTTCCCCTCCCACTGAGCTTCCTGGCCCTATGACACCTGCCAAGGTGATACCCAGCCCAGACCCCTCCCTCCAAGGTGCTTTCTGGGCCCAGGCACACTCCACTCCCCCAGTACATAGCGCTCGTGGGTCTCATCTGGGAAGGGCAGTTTCCGGGAGAAACTCTGCGTGTAGACCTCCAGCCCTACTGACCGCATCGTCCGTTCAAGCCAGGCCACTGGTAGAGCCCTGCAGACACGAAGGGAGCCTCTGAGCAGAGCTCCCCGGCCTTAGCCACCACTGCTCGCCCCATACGCCCTGCTCTGCCGCTCACCCCGACTTCTTGCGGTGGGCAGCGAAGTCCCGTGCAAAAGCCCGGGCACGGTCTCCGCCGGCAAACTGCTCCTCCACCATGGTGGAGCCCATGGCGTTCTCCGACATGTAAGTGCGCTGGGTCAGCGGCGGGAAAACCAGCGCCAAGAACCAGGCGATGCCCGCCACGTAGCTCAGCACGCTGTGAGAGAGGGCGGAGGGGCACCGGAGCGTCAGCGAGTCCTGAGACGCCGACCCGAGGCCACAGCCTGCGCACCCGGGGTCGATCGCGCGGGTCTGAGACCTAAACCCGGAGTCCTGGCATCGGGACGCCGGACCAGAGGGCTGAGCCTGGGCCTGATACCCTCAGTGCTTCCAGAGGGCAGTAGCGGAAGGGCGCGAGCAGCCGGAGCAGCCCCGGCCCTCGATGGGCACCGCGCAAGGGCCGCCGCCAGCGCGAGTTCCAGGGCCTTCGGGTCCCCGCCTCCCCGGGCCCAGTTCTCACCACAGCGGCGCGTTGAGCCGCAGCACGAGGCGGGCGAGCGCGCGCCGGCGAACGGGGTCCGACAGGAGGCCCATGGCGGGGCAGGGCGGCGCGGCGACGGACCCTCTGCCGTCTCCGGACCCTCTGCCGCCTCCAACTACCGCCACGGTGCCCGCAGGCTGCTCCCGTCAGACCCGGGGACCGCGCTCGCCCGCACTTCCGGTCCCAGCGGCGCCGGCGACGGCGCGCATGTCCGGAGCACAGGACGCGCCCCCAACACCCCGTACTGCCGGCGGCGCGCAAGCCCAGACAGCGGCTGACTGCAGGGTGGGCGGTGCTGGTGAAGCCGCAAGGACGCGAGCGGGTTGGGGAGTCTGCTAGGCGCTGCCCCCACGAGAGTCGGACCCGCAGTGCACCGCCCCGGAGGGAGGCAGGTAGCCCTACAGCCGGAGGAGAGCAGAGCAGATGCCCGACAGCAGGCCGAGCTGGTCGGGGCAGCGAGATATCGCCCCCTGGAAGGCCCGCAGGAGTCAGAGGTGATGAGCCGGGCAGTATCGCGGGAAACCCACCCCGGATATTCGACGTGGGTCCTTTTCTGTTTTCCCTAAGTGTCGGCTGGTCTGAGAAATAAAGGGAAAGAGTACAAAAGAGAGAAATTTTAAAGCTGAGTGTCCGGGGGAGACATCCCATGTCGGCAGGTTCCGTGATGACCCCCAGCCATAAAACCAGCAAGTTTTTATTAGCAATTTTCAAAAGGGAGGGAGTGTACGAATAGGGTGTGGGTCACTGAGATCACATGCTTAAAGGGCGACAAAAGATCACAAAGCAGAAGGTCATGGCGAAACTAGAATCACTAATGAATTTCCATGTCCGGCTGTGCACGCATTGTCAGGGTTCAAGAGCAGAGAACCGGTCTGACTAGAATTCGCCAGGCTGGAACTTCCTAATCCTAGCAAGCCTAGGGGCGCTGCAGGAGACTAGGGCATGTTTCATCCCCTAATCCTAGCAAGCTGGGGGAGCTGCAGGAAACTAGGGCACTTCATCCCCATCTACATCTGCATAAGGCAGACACCCCCAGAGCGGCCATTTCAGAGGCCTCCCCTAGGAATGCATTCTTTTCCCCCAGGGCTGTTAATTATTAATATTCCTTACTGGGGAAATATGGCTCTGTCCTGCCTGGCCCACAGGCAGCCAGACTTTAAGGTTATCTCCCTTGTTCCCTCAAGATCGCTGTTACCCTGTTCTTTTTTCCAGGTGCCCAGATTTCATATTGTTTAAACACACATGCCTTAAACGAACAATCTGTGCAGTTAACGCAATCATCACAGGGTCATGAGCTGACATACATCCTCAGCTTATGAAGATGATGGGATTAAGAGATTAAAGACAGGCATAGGAAATCACAAGAGTATTGATTGGGGAAGGGATAAATGTCCATGAAATCTTTTTTTTTTTGAGACGGAGCCTCACTCTGTCGCCCAGGCTGGAGTGCAGTGGCGCAATCTCAGCTCATTGCAAGCTCTGCCTCCCGGGTTTACCCCATTCTCCTGCCTCAGCCTCCCGAGTAGCTGGTACTACAGGCACCCGCCACCTCGCCCAGCTAGTTTTTGTATTTTTTTTTAGTAGAGACAGGGTTTCACCGTGTTAGCCAGGATGGTCTCGATCTCCTGACCTCGTGATCCACCCGTCTTGGTCTCCCAAAGTGCTGGGATTACAGGCTTGAGCCACCGCGCCTGGCCGTCCATGAAATCTTTACAATTTATGTTCTGTCATGGCTTTAGCGGGTACCTCTGTTCGGGGTCCCTGACTTCCCACAACAGGGCAGGTGGGTGGAAAGCCGGCGGCGGTCACAGAATGGATGCCAAGCGAGACTGCCAATGACTCAGGACGTCCCAGTGGAGTCACAGCATGAGCCCAGCACCAAGGTTTTCTGAGTCAGATGACCGCAGAGATGCTGATGGCACTACTGGCCAAAATGGGCTTCACTAGAGCTGGGGTGTGTGCAGTACAAAGTAGGGGAGCATACTGTCCCTGTCCAGGCCAAGAGATCCTTGGAATATTAGGGGAGAAGCAGCCCCAGGGTCCACACTGCAGGGGCTGGTAGTCAGGGCTCCGGCAGGTCTGTGGGCCAGAGGTGAATGAAGGGGTAGTTTGCTCAAGAAGAGGATGCACTTTGGGAAGGTGAGGTGGGAGGATCCTTTGAGACCAGCCTGGACAACAAAATGAGACCCAGTCTCTACATACAAAAAAATTCTTTTTAAATTAGCCAGGTAGGTGGGACATGCCTGTAGTCTTAGTTCAGGAGGCCAAAGTGGGAGGATCACTTGAGCCTAGGAAATTGAGACTGCAGTGAGCCATGATCCCACCACTGCACTCCAGCCTGAGCACAGAGCAAGACTATGTCTCAACAAATAAATAGTGGTGGGCAGAGAGAAGGGTCAAAACTGAAGACTCCATGTGAGAACAATTTTTTTTAATTTTTTTATTTTTGAGACAGAGTCTTGCTGTCATCCAGGCTGGAGTGCAATGGTGCTATCTTGGCTAACTGTGACCTTCATCTCTGGTTCAAGTGATTCTCCTGCCCCAGCCTCCCTAGTAGCTGGGACTACAGGTACCTGCCACCACACTAATTTTTGTATTAGTAGAGATGGGGTTTCACCATGTTGGCCAGGCTGGTCTCGAACTCCTGACCTCAAGTGATCCATGAGAACAGGTAATTTTTGTACTTTTATTTTTTTTAGATGGAGTCTTGCTCTGTCGCCCAGGCTGGAGTGCAGTGGCACGATCTCGGCTCACTGCAACCTCCGCCTCCCCGGTTCAAGAGATTCTCCTGCCTCGGCCTCCTGAGTAACTCAGATTACAGGCATGTGCCACCACCCCCAGCTAATTTTGTATTTTTCGTAGAGACGGGGTTTCACCATGTTGGCCAGGATGGTCTCAAATTCCTGACCTGAAGCAATCCGCCTGCCTCAGCCTCCCAAAGTTCTGGGATTACAGGTGTGAGCCACCATGCCTGGCTGTTGTATTTTTTAGAGCCCAAGGTAAGCAGCAGGAAAAGCCCAAGGGGCTCCAGGCCATAGTCCAGAGGCCATGAGACATGGCCCCCACATCTCTAGGTTGGGTACTCAGAGCCAGCTGAGTTCTCCCTCAGCCCTTTGCTCAGGGCCCCGGATGTGCCAGAGTAAGGGTAACAGATTCCTCAGTCCAATGGCCTGGCTCATCTTGCCAGGCCCTGCCTCCTGCTCAGCTGCCTTGAGTCCTTACTGGGACATGTTGCTTTTTCCACCCAGGACCTCCCCCACAGCAATGCCCTAATCCACTGTTCTCTTCAGGGTTTGAATCAGGCTACACAGAGATAGGCAGTTCATGTGTGGGCGAGGGTCCCTGGTCATCCCCAGGAGCTAGCACCAGACCAGGCTCTGCCAGGCTTTACATGGCTCTGAAGTGCTGTTGGGTGATTAACGTACAGTGAGGGTTGTGTGGGCAGAGGAGGGTTTTATTCTGGACATGGGTGGCTGGGTGGTCAGTCCCCCAGCAAGATAGAGGCCTCACGCACATGCTGCCGGACCACTCTGTCCAAGAGGGTGTGCACATCTCGAGCAGCCTGGGCAGCAGCCTCCAACACCCGCTCCAGGTGGTCCTCGTGCAGCCGGGCATCCATCTCAAGCAGCGCAATCTGTCCTGAGGCTGGCAGCAGGGCCAGGGCCAGCTGGGGGCCACCAGCTGCTTCCTCCACATGGCTGAGGTCCGCCAGGGCTGTGCCGTCCACAAAGCCAGCTGAGCACGCACACACAAAGTCTCTCATGGGTATCCCAGCATCCAGCACTGCCAGTGTGGCTGCATTCACACAAGCTGCATAGGTCCCACCATCTGCCTGTAGCACCTGCAGGGACCCCAGGGTGTGAGTCTATCAGACTCTCTCCCCAACCCCATCACACCCACCCCTCCCTGGATTGACGCTGCAGCCGGCTCACCTGCACATAGATATCAATCTGGGAGCGTGGGTGCAGCTGTGTGAGGATGGCTGCCTCGAAAGTCTGGCGGAGCTGCAGGCCCATCTCACAGGACTTCCGGTCCCCATGTGGCCGTCGCTTGCGCTCACCTGTGCTGAAGGTCGCTGAACTATATTGACAGTTCACTAGGGCCCTGTCCGGCAGGGCTCGAGCCCGGGAACCCCGGATCTGGAAGAGGTCGGACACATGAGCCAGGCCCACTCCTTCCAGCTCACACTCCACTGTCCTCTGTGGGTCTGTATCTCCCTCCACTTTCAATGCCTCAGCAAGGGGCAACTACATTACCTCCAAAACAAAGCCCCCTGTTTTGCACTCTCTGTCTTGCATGTGTTGCCCTCTGGCATCTTTTAATTGGCTTCCTTGTGCCCATCCTTGCCCCATTCCCTGCCAACCCAAGTTTACAAACATCAAGGCTGATTCTGTCTCATCTTCACACTCAAATCCTAATTACGTTACAAAGGTTTCACATTACATATGAAATAAAATCCCAAATCATTTCCCTGGTCTACAAAACCCTAATTCCTCACCTCCCCGGGAACTCTCAACCTTATTTGGAGTTATCCCCTCTTTCCCCACCAGCAGTCTTTCTGTTATGCATAAGCGCCTTGCTTGTTTTCACCACCGTGGTCTTCGCCCTCCTGGTTCCCTCCGCCTGGAAAGCAGAGCTCCTACACTCATGCGCTAAACAAACACTCTTTCAATACCTTCGCTGGCCAGGCACAGTTACAGCGCTGGAAACACAGCAATGAAACCAGAAAGTTTTATGTCAAGTTTCTGCCCTTAGGAAGCTTATGTTCTAGCGAGGAAACGGGGGAAAATGCTTAAGCAAAATAGGCATTTGAGATTGTAGGTGCACAAAAGACAAGGGTTTATTGTAGGGAGAGAAGTACCGCGTGGATAAGGTCATCTGGGAAGGAGTGACGTCGGAGTAGAGCTGAGAGGAGAGGGAGCGAGTGGGGGAGTGCCTGGCACGTTGAAGAGCCGCAAAGAGGAGGGAGAGCGCAGGCACAGAGACCGATGAGAAAGGCAGGACCACCGCGCAGCACACTAAAGACTTGCGTTTACTCCGAGTGAGATGCAGTGCAGAGCATCGGCTGTGTGGACTGAGGCGCGCCGGCCGCACCTCTCAAGTCCCCGAACCTCTGCTCAGCCGGGCTGCCCCGCAGCTCCCGCGGTCACGCGATTCCCCATCCCGCACGCCCACTCGCCTCGTGCGGGCCGTAGACCACCGCCAGAGCCTTGGTGTTGCCCTGCTCGATGTAGGCCGAGCCGTCAGCCTGCGCGAACACGCCCATCCGAGCCTGGATCTTGCGCAGCTCCCCGGCGCGCCGACCGTCCACCCGGTAGCCCTGGTCGGACAAGAGCTCCAGCCCCGCCATGCTGCCCGGCCGCCAGCTGCGCTCTCTGCCTAGTTCTCTGATACGCGGGAGAACTACAGCGCCCTGCGGCTCCGACCTCCCCGAATCTACGGTTTCCGGCGGTCCGCCATCACTTCCGGTTCCGGGGAGCTACAGCTCCCCGCGGTCCCGACCTCCCTGGATCTACGGTATCCGGCGGTCCGCTGTCACTTCCGGTCCCGGGGAACTGGAGTTCCTCGCGGCACCGACCTCCCCGGATCTACGGTTTCTGGCGGTTCGGCTCCACTTTTGTCTCCGGGGAACTGCGGTGGCGCTGTCGGGGAAGCAGCGGTTGAGCCCGCAGCCGTTCCCGGAGCTGTGCCACGGGTGCCAGGAGGTGGGCGCCCGCTGAAGGAGGAATTCCCGTCACGCCCTCGGGACCAGTGGTGCCTGCATTCAGCCCTTCCCCGCGCCCCAAGTGTGGAAGTGGAAGGATGAACCCAGTGGGTTGCGACCCTGACAGGAGAAGGCATTGAGCGGTCCTAGGAAAGTGACCAGGCTGGTGTCCCAGGATGGTCCACACCTGGCACCTCTCCAGTCCTCTCATGCCCTCCCTTTACACCGAGCTTCCACACTGCAGTCGAGTGGGCCTCCGTTTTCCCTTTGAGGATGCAGATTTCCTCATCCTTTCCAGAGAGGGGTTGTGTGTCTCTCTCTTGCCACTTAACCTCAGCGGCTTCAAATAGCAATCATTCTATTATTATGTACTGTAGTCTTGGGTTATCTAGGCTCAGCTAGGTAGTTTGCACGTAGGCTCTCTCCTACAGTTGCTGCCAGATGGTGGCTGGGGCTGGAGCCATCCTAAAGCTTTCTCTTTCACATCTTTGGTGGCTGATGCTGGTGGCTGGCCAGGACCTCATCTGTGGCTGTCAGGCAGCACACCTACCTGTGGCTTCTTCATGCTTCCTTGCAATATGGCAGCTGGGTTCCAAGGGTAGCCTTCCAGGACAACAAGATGGACAACATGTGCATGATATTTTTAGGACCTAGCCTCAGAAGTCACATAGTGTCCCTCCTGCCAGACTCTGTGGGTGAAGGCAGTCAGACACATCTACCCAGGCTTAAGGGATGGGGACAGGGACCCCACCCTTCAGTGGGAGGAGTGTCAATATTAGACTGTAGGAACAGCAGGTGGGCTGGGGAAATGCAGTCTGCTGCAGGGGCGCAAGTTCAGCATCGCCTCAAAGGTGGTTATGCTCTCCTGAAAGACTGAAAGGCATGAGAATGAGTGAGCAAGCCACAGCCCTGCGGCTGCAGCTGGTATGAGGCCATGACGGGTCACTATCCTCTGCCACTGGCCACCACCGATTCCCCACCCTTGGCTCTGCAGCCAGACACTGCATACTGTGGAGCAGCCCAGGCCCTTCTCCCCTTGCAGTCTGAGCTCTTCCTGTCCCTGTTCTTACTGGGTCGTTTTGTTTGTTTGTTTTGTTTTTTTGAGATGGAGTCTCACTCTGTCACCCAGGCTGGAGTGCTGTGGCACAGTATCAGCGCACTGCTCCCTCCACCTCCTGGGTCTAAGTGATTCTTGTATCTCAGCCTCCCAAGTAGCTGGGAAGCTGGGATTACAGGCACCTGCCACTATGCCTGGGTAAGGTTTTTGGTTTTTTTTTTTTTTTTGGAGACGGAGTCTCACTGTCACCCAGGCTGGAGTGCAGAGGCACGATCTCAGCTCACTGCAACCTCCAGCTCCTGGGTTCAAATGATTCTCCTACCTCAGCCTCCCAAGTAGCTGGGATTACAGGCATGCGCCACCATGCCCTGCTGACTTTTTTTTTGTAGTTTTAGTAGAGATGGGGTTTCACCATGTTGATCAGGCTGGTCTTGAACTCCTGACCTCAGGTGATCCACCTGCCTTGGCCTCCTGCCACTGCACCTGGCCATTACTGGGTCATTGTTTCAACTGTCTTCTGACAGTCCTTGCCACATGCAGGAAGACTAGACATCCAGGGAGCTCTGTGGACTGCCCACCCTAGTTGTGTAGCAGTGACCATAGCAACTCAGGAAAATGAGGACGATGTTGGTATTCAGCCTAAGGAGCCCAAAGTAGGCCAGTGATAGCTGCTACTTCAAGATCAGTGGAACCTTTGCTGTGTTCCCTGGTGGAAGTATTCACCTTCAGGAACTAGGCCTCCAACCTGGCAGCATTGCAGGTTTAGGATTATGGGGCCACTGCTACCTCACACCTTTGGTTCTCTGATCCTCGTACTCCAGCTTTAGGGTACACACATGGGTCGATTTAAATTTTGGAGGCCTAAAGCTTATACAAATTCAGGGGCCATGAGAAGTATCCTCAAGATCCCTCCGGAATAATCAGTTTGCTAGAAGGACTCACTATAGACTTACGGCTAAGATTATTACACAGAGAAGATAATAAGTCTGAATCAGCAAAGAGAAAAGGTGCATGGGATGAATTCCACAGGAAATCAGGTGTAAGCTGGCCAAGTCCTCTCCTGGTGGACTCCACAGGAAGAAGCTGGAGCTGTGTGTGTGAAATGCTGTCTGCCAGGGAAGCTTCTTAGACACTCAGCACCCTGGGGTTTTATGGAGGGAAGGTTACATACACAGTCTGTGCCAAGCATGTGCCCAAATTCCAGACCCCCAGAAGCAACACAGGCGTTCAGCATGAGCCATGTTTGTACAAACAGTCTAGGCACAGTGAGACACGCTTTCCAGAGAATGGAGGGAACCATCCCCAAACCCAAATTCCCAGACACCAACTCTTCAAGCTTGCCTGTGAAGAAGAGCTTCTCAGGCCTGCCGTTAACTCATCTACGCAGTCTTCTTTTGAAACATAAGACAAAATTATACATCCAAAACTAAGTGAATAGTGAGAAAAGAAGCCCCAACACAAACATTTTAAAAGTTGCCAAATACTACAAACATCACAAAATGCAGAAAACCTACAGGTTTCCCCTACATTTCTTTGATGCATTCTCTGATGCTCTCTTAAAATGACAACACTTTTTTTTTTTTTGGAGACGGAGTCTTACTCTGTTCCCCAGGCTGGAGTGCAGTGGCACGATCTCGGCTCACTGCAAGCTCCGCCTCCTGGGTTCATGCCATTCTCCTGTCTCAGCCTCCCGAGTAGCTGGGACTACAGGCACCCTTCACCACGCCTGGCTAATTTTTTTTTTTATTTTTAGTAGAGACGGGGTTTCACCGTGTTAGCCAGGGTGATCTCAATCTCCTGACCTCATGATCTGCCCGCCTCGGCCTCCCAAAGTGCTGGGATTACAGGCTTGAGCCACCACGCCCGGATGACAACACTTTTTATAACGTAACCTCCTATATGTAGAAAGAAGGCGGCAGATGCGGTGACTCGCACCTGTAATCCCAACACTTTTGGGAGGCAGAGGCAGGTGGATCACTTCAGTCTAGGGGTTCAAGATCAGCCTGGAAAACATGGCAAAACCCCATCTCTACAAAAAATACAAAAAATTAGCTGGACATGGTGGTGCATACCTGTGGTCCTAGCTACTTGGGAGGCTGAGGTGGGAGGATCACTTCAGCCGGGGAGGTCAAGGCTGCAGTAAGCTGTGGTCCTACCACTGCACTCCAGCCTGGGCAACAGAATGATATGCTGTCAAAACAAAAAACAAACAAAAACCAAGAAAGAAAATGATTTAGTTTCTCCTCTCACATGTTTGATCAAAATTTAATTTTATTATTTATAGTTAAGTTGCTTTCAGGTAAAAGCTCCTTTGGGTAATATGTACATTTTTAGAATTGTCATTAAATTTGAGGAAATCGCTTATCAGATTTTTTCCACATGTGAGCCATAACAGTTCAGGTGTTGGCTGGGTGAGGTAGCTCATTCCTGTAATCCCAACACTCTGGGAAACTGAGGCAGGAGGATCGCTTGAGGCCAGGTGTCCAAGACCAGCCTGGGCAGCATAGTGATACACTATCTCTACAAAAAAAAAAATTAAAAATTAGCTGGGCGTGGTGGCACATGCCTGTAGTTCCACCTATTTGAGAGACTGAGACGGGAGGTTGGCCTGAGCCGAGGGAGTTCAAGGCTGCTGTGAGCTATGAGCTATGATCGCTCCACTACACTCCTGCCCGTACCACGGAGTGAGGCTTTGTCTCAAGAAACAAACAAAAAACCCCAGAACCCTCCCCCCAAATAAAAATGAATTTGAGTTTGGGTTTTCTTGCTTGTGACTACTCTTAGATCCTCTTTGAGTTGACGCTTGGCCAATTTCATCAGCTTGTTGTGTTAACATGCAGCTGAGGGAGATAGTTGGGTGTTTCTGGAAGCCATTTCTACACCAGAATGACTAGTGATAGCATAACTGTATCAGGAAGTGACTGTTCCCACCAAGCCCAAGCAAAACGTACCCTCAACTCAGCCTCCCAGGAGCTGGACCCCACAACGCCCCCTCCAGCTCTGTGCAGCAGGGGAGGGGGTAACTGATGGCAGGTTGTAGGGGGAAGAGACAGTTTTAGCTGGTTGTGGTTAAAATATCTCACTTTTGCAAATTTTATGAAATATATGACTTGACTCTGTAAATAGTTTGCTGGGGCCCAAGCTGGGAAGGGGCTGTGGGACTGAGGATCCTGGAACGGATTCCCGAGATTCCTGGTGAACCTGTTTCTCGAGCTCCAACTTCTTAGGGCAACACAGGCGCATCCCAGCAGGAGTGCCCCGCCCTGGAAGGGGCTGACATCCAGCTGGCAGCAGGGCAGGGCCTTCAGCAGACTGTGCCACTATTCTGTTGGGCCGAGAAGGGTTTGAGAGACCAGTGAGTCCCAGGGACGTGAGCTCATTGCCACACGGTAGGCGCTAAGGTGGGTTGTTAGGATTTTTTTTTTTTTTTTTTTTGACATATAGTCTCACTCTGTTGCCCAGGCTAGAGTGCAATGGCACAATCTGGGATCATTGCAACCTCCGCCTCCCGTGTTCAAGCGATTCTCATGTCTCAGCCTCCTGAGTAGCTGGGATTACAGGTGCATGCCACCGTGCCTGGCTAATTTTTGTATTTTTAGTGGAGATGGGGTTTCACCATGTGGACCAGGCTGGCCTCAAACTCCTGACCTAGTGATCTGCCTGCCTTGGCCTCCCAAAGTGGTAGGATTACAGGTGTGAGCCACTGCAGTG